AGCTGCTCTCTTCAGCTGAACCTGGGAGGGCATGGTGGAGGCATCTGCAAACTACCACTACCAACAGACATCACAAAAACTGCAGTACTACCCAAGCAGCTTTGCTTTTCCCTGATGTTACAGAAGGAAAGACATTGCAATCTGGATGAAAAGTTGCCAGGGCCAATTTGGACAAAGCTGTAATTATGCTAAAAGGAAAAGTTATACCAGCTAAGATGTCCACTCAAGGCAGACAAAGTAAACATGCATCTCAGCCATCAGCATGGGAAAGCCTCCCTGGCTGAGGTTAGCCCCAGCGTCTCCCTTTAACAGACCATGTCAAAGGGCAAGAGCATCCTGAGCAGCCAGAGCACATCTGGCACATGTACAGAGGCAGAGTGGCCCCTGAAGCTCAGGACAAGGCTTGTGCCCCGCTCCAGCCTCTGCTGTGAAATAACCACTAAATCTACACCAACCCAAGCCCTGAACAAAATAAGCACCTGCGCTAGCAAGAAGCGCAGATCAGAAGAGCAGCTCACTGGGTGCTGAAGTCCTGGCACCCACACCTGCTGTCCTTCAGGGTGGGCTCTGCCTCACCCCAGGACCAGATGCCCATCAGTGCCCCAAGGATGCTGGCAGAGCACATCTTCCCTTTGAGTCTCTGTGGGAAGGAAGCTAGTCTGCACACTTGAGACCCTCCAAAACGTGATCCACCCCTGCTGTTAGCATGGAGGTGCCCACTGTAGGCTCTCCACATGGCATGCAGCCAGAGCCTCCTAACACAAGAGACACAGACGCTCCCTGCATGTGCACAAAGGTCTCTACACACAGTGAGTCAGGTTCCAACAGCTGAACACAATGTTTAGCACCTCTGCACACCAACCACTGAGGAAGCCCAGAGTGCCTTTTCTCCCACAAATAACTCTTCACTTCTACGCTTGAAAACTATTTGTGACTCGAGTAAGTGAGTTCCTGTGAAATAAGCGGGGAGATAGAGGCACAGAGCAGCTTGTACTTGCCAGAATATTACCTGCAAAGCAGGGAAGAGCAGGCAGAATTCCCACCACCCCATCAGCACCATTTTAGGGATGCTCATGTTTGGCAGAAGGAGTTGCCTCCTCCAGCAGCTGTGGGTGAGGTGCAGAGCACTGTCAACTACACACATGGGATTTTTCCTGCTAGCATCCCCTTCTCACTGAGATACATACTGCTGTGCTGTAGACCGCTCAAGTCTATCCCCAGTGCCGAAGGGTATATGTCTTTAGGCACATCATCTACCTCCAGGGACAAAAGGACACCTCGATCACCTCACTACACAAGGCAAAACTCCTTAGGCTGTGACAGCAGCACGCTCCAGACCTTGGTGAGTCTGGACTGTTCACGAAGAGTTAACAGGATTCAGCATCGTCCCTTTGAAAGCATTTGTACTGCTGCAAGACTGCTGCAGTTTGACAAAGGCTCTAAACAAACCTCCAACAGGGCATTTATTTTGAAACACTGCAATTACAACATTTTTAGGGTAACCACATTGCTTCCAATATAAATAAATTTAATTATAATGCAGACTTTTGAATATTAAGTTAGTTAAGAACACGAAAGAGCCTTTCTTTTTTTAGAGGGTATAGGTAACAAAATCCAAAGGTCCCAAGCTACTGCATAGTTTGCTTTTCCCTGGCCGTGACCTGTGAGACTGAGATCACATTGAACAGATGGACACACACAAACTGAAGGATGTTAAACCTTGCCACCGTGTTGCAAACTGTCCGCTTTGTAACTGTGGCAGTAAATCTCCCAGCAGCCAGTGTCCGGGGCTGAAGCACACTCACTCTTCTGACGCTTTCAAACTGCCTTGACAATTTTCGGGTGTTTTTAAAACAGCATTGCTTTTCACACAGTCTGAGTAAACAGAAAGAGCTGACCCTGAAAAATAAGTCGGCCCCATACAACATCGATTTTCAGTGTCACAAAGAAATACAGGACACTTCCCACTACATAATATTTTTATGGCTTATCATCAACAATGCACCACAGAGACAGAAAGGAAAGCAGTGCATGCATAGAAATCTCCTTGTTCTGCCTCGATTTCCCTTCTCTCTGAATCATCTGTTTCATCAGCTAGCAGCCAGCTTTGACCTGCTTTCAGTCGAGCATCATCCCCATGACAAGCTCCCCCACACACCACGGCTTCGCTGCGTTCCTCCCAGCACACCAGGAACTCTCAGGACACAGCAGACAGGCCTGGGCAATACTGGGATCTCACCCCTTCTCCCAGCCCAACAGGTCTGAGATATACAAAGCTCGATGTATCATCTGCAGTTACTAACCTCAAACAGTTTCACTTGCAGGCGGGGAGGCAGCACCCGGCTCCCAGCAGCCCAGAAGCACCAGGCATAGGGACCTCACCAAGAAGTGCTGGTTTTGGGGTGCTTTGCATGTGCTCAGCCCCACAGGCAGCAGCTCTGCTTCGGGGCACTCCAGCTGCCACAACAAAAGGCCCCTGGAGAATTAGCCATGGGGCATGTGTGTTCATTCCCAGCCTACCTGTGTGCTGGGGCTCATGCAGTGACTGCAGAAACATCTGTGAAGCTCTAGCACACACAGATCAGCTTGAGATCTCCCCTGCAGCATCCCGGGACCAGGAATTAGTAGGTATGCTGCCAGTGGCCAGCACAGATATCTGTAGCTGTGTTTACATGCCAAACTCAGCTTTCAGCACAGGTGAACACTTTGGTGATGGACGTGATGCAGACGTGAACTGACTTGCATCCAGAGATAACACTCCCCCATCCATCCCCCATCCAGAAAGCCATTCCTGAAAGCAGGGCTCCTGGTATTGACATCTTATGAACCATGCCTTTTCCCCATAATTCTGCAGCTATGCCTTGCTTTGAAAACCAGGGCTTGCACCACAGCCCTGCTACGTGATGTGCTGCAGATGTGGGCTTTGTCTGTACCAGCCAGCCTAGAATTCCCAAGTGGGCAATCTCGGTGGGAAGGATCTGGTCTGGTTAGCTAATGCATTCCTTCAGAGTATGTCAAAACACAGCCTGCTCCCATTTCGGAGGCTCACAGCTTTTCTTACAGCCCTGCAAGATACTCATCCACATAGGTGTCAGAGCACATTACAAACAGAGGCAGGAGCTGCAGCCTTATTTTCTGTACTAGAGGAAGGGTCATTTTTGATGTCTGATTTAACACCATATTTTATTGGCTTGCAAGATCTCACCCCAGATCTCCATGCACAGAAAAAGCTTTGAAGAGCTAAACCATCTTTGAATATAAAAGACTTACTGAAACCATTTCAAACCTTACTCAAGGTATCTGGTTTGGTTTTGCTGTCTTCTACAACAGAGGAGAATGTCTGTATATTTGTGAAGTATTCTGAAAAGCAGGAGAGGCAGGATGAGACCTAGCAGCATCTCATCCATTTGCATCATCTCAGCAGCCCCACGATAATGGGGACACGGATGGTGGGAGCTCACACCACAATGTCCAATTACAGGGACAGAACAACAGAGTTGGTGCAAAGTTCTGTGGATGGTGCTAGGACAGATGACTCCTTGCAGAGACTTCACGAAGGGCTGAAGAAGAGGCCAGTGCCAGCTACATGGTCCTCAAAAGGGGGCCTGGGAAATAACCACTATTAGTGATAAGAGCAGGGGATTTCACAGGCACCTTGGTGCTGAGCACACTCAGCTGCTTTTGCAAATCCCAGCCAACACAATACATCTCATGGAACACCAAAATACAAACCACAAGCTACAACAGGAGATGGAAGTCAAAATCCCTTGGCTAGCCTTTAGGATAAAGGAGATTTTCTATCACAAATAGTTATCACTTCAAACAGATGCCTCTCCAGAAGATGGGAATACATCTCAGTGACAGCAGCCCAAGGTTCTGCAGCAGAGCTAGGTTTGTGTGTGGAAAGTTATTTTATTTCTGCGTCTCCATGGCTACTGGAAGAGCATATGGCATGTGCTGACTCAGCATAGCAAGATGAGAACTCCTTTGCTCTTGTGTGCTTCCCACCATCACGTTAATTAACGTGCTGGTGTCCTGCTCCCTTAACCTCAACCCTTCTCTTCTGACACTTGCCCAGCTGTGCTGAGCCAACCACTCCTGTCATTTCACCACCAGTGCTGCAGGTAAAGCTCTCTTCTCCCAGCAGCAGTGATGAAGCTGTCACTGGCGCATCACTAATGGTCATTTCCTTGGTGATAAGCCATTCAACACCAATGATGTTGAAGTGGCACAAGCATGAGCCTGTTCAATCTTAACACCCCTTGGTCTAAACAGCTCTGCAGAATCCGCCTTCCCTCCATGTCTCAGTCCCAAATGAGACTGAGGAAAGCATCCTGCCCAGCCCTTCTTGCTCTAACGAGCTGAAAGGAGGCATTTAAACAGAAACCAGCACAGTTCACAATTTATGCAAACAAGCTTTTTTCATACCAGTTGCTCAACCTACTACTAGAATTTCACTGGCCACACATTTGTCTCCTTGAAGCCCATGGCAAAATTCCCTGCCATTTCAAAGGGTGCAGGACTCTGCATTCCAGGCTGACGGCAAACATTTTTGAGTGTCACTTTATAATGGGGCACAGCTTTCTGCTGAGGTTTGGCTAGCCCGCACCAGCTGACATGTAACTGTAGAAAGGATCAGCTGCGAAACCAGGCAAAAGCTGAAAAAACCAGCCAAGGCAGGAGTAAAATGGAAGAAAACTGTAAAAAGGATCTGGTCTGTAGGAACAGCTGCAAAAGCAGTCAAAGCAGGGGCAAAATGGTGAAAACCAGATTAAAACATAGCTCCTTCCTTTCTCCTTTCTGATCCACAGCTTTGGAGGAAGAAAACCACCTTTGGAAGTGGGATCCCCACTGCTCCTCCCCAGGAAAACAATAAACCCATGCAGATATTAGGTTTTCTTTCTCTTTCTGTTGAAGGGACCCTTTTTAGTACACTTCACCCACAAACCGGACCTGTGACGGGCTCCTCCTGGGTTCTCATGCTGCCTCATCTGCGCCAGGCAAAGCAACCCATCCCCGGGGCAAAGCCATCCACCCGGCCCTGGGGCACATAAGGGGATTTCAGCCCATCTGGGCAACCCAGCTGCTCTTCCCCACTTCACCCACCAGCGTCTCCCCTCCGTGCACTCACTCGGGCCTGTTGCACTCCCGAATCGCCGTCTTTATGCCGCCGCCACAGGTTCTCGAGCAGGTCCCAAAAGGGCTCCAGGTCCCCCAGGCTCCATCCACCACCGGCGCCTCTCGCTCCTTGGGCACGCACATCCCGAACCGGCAGTGCTGGGGGCGAAGGGCAGAGAGGGGAGAAGCTGGGCTGGTGCTGCTTTTCTGTTACGAGCCGACCGACAGCGCCCAGCCTGGACCACAAGACTCAGGTCTGCTCATTCCTCAACCACTCACAAAATGCAACAAAGATTCTGCAAGCAAATAAAATTTATCTTCTTTGCTTTTTGTCTCTCTTCTCCCTCATCCTTATTTTTTTTTTTTTCTCTGCACCCTCAAATGAAGAAGCAGAGGTAAGCTGCAGAGTCCAAAGGAGTGATTTATGGGAAGAAGACCGAGGACAACAGCAACCACTGAACATTCCCTGTTTACTGGTGCTGAAATGCTCGTGGCACCAGCTTTCCAAAAGCTGCTTCTCTGATTTCCTGGACAGCAGCAGGAACCACATCATGTTGGGAGGAGACAGACAGTAGAGGGAAAAAAAAAAACAGGGAAAACTCAAATCTCCCCACAGCTGTACAAAGCAGGAAAGGAAACTTCCAAATCCAACGGGCAAATAAAACAGAAAAATTAATTCCTCAATCCAAAGTGCTTTTATTCACTCAGCCATAACATGGGACTTGCCAAGGCCTGGCCTACACTTTTGTTTTCCAGCTATAACTCTTGTTTTCATCTGTTTGGAAAACTGGCTTAAATTATCTTGGAGAGCCTTCAGCCTCCATTTTTATGGTATAAATTTTGTCCCTGTGTTTGCTAGCTCTATCTGGAGAGGTGAGATCTAGAGGAAAGTCACCTTATAGCCCCACCAGAGTGGATGGAAAAGTGTCTCCCAGACCCATGAGAGCAGGGCTTCTCCCTCACTGATCCATGTTTGGTAAAGCAGATTTCAACACAGATGATGAATCCAACTCATGTACTGGAGGATGCCTCAATCTGTGCAGTTAGAGGAACCTCAAACATTGTTGATGACTCAGATTAGAAGAGGTTAAAGACTTGAAGAAAACATGTAGTGCAGCATTAAAACTAAAGCAGATTTCAACCCAGATGATGAATCCAGCTCATGTACTGGAGGATGCCTCAGTCTGTGCAATTAGAGGAACCTCAAACATTGTTGATTACTCAGATTAGAAGAGGTTAAAGACTTAAAGAAGAAAACATGTAGTGCAGCATTAAAATATTTCCTTGCAATATTTTTCTGCACCAGATGCTGTTCAGGCAGGGAAACACCTAATGATCTTTATGTGAACAGGGTCGGATTTACTGATGTATCACATTTTTCCATCCCTTTCGCTAACAGTGGAACAAGGTTGTGTCAAAATACACCATGAGCTCCTCTCCCTCTTTCAGACATCTTTATGAACCACCTTAGAGAAAGCTGTGAAGGAACACAGTAAAGTCAAGCTACCATGAGGGTTGCACATCCAGGCCATAGCTCGCTGGGCTCTGCAGCATATTTAACAGCTTTTGCCCACAATGGCCAGCTTGCCACGTTGCTTTGCTGATGAAGAAAGCTGATCTCAGGTGCATTTGTCTATGAACACGGTTTGCAGGACAGCTCATAGCTTGGGCCCTAAATGTGGTGCTTGCTCAGAGATGAACATGGTCTCTAGGCTGCAACATGCCCTGGATTTGCTTTCATCTGAGGATTTGACTCCCTAGAGAGAAACTGCCTGAAAAATATCTGCTACAGTAACATGCAGGAATAAAATCAGCTGAAATGCCCATTCCTTTGCTGCAGGACAAGCCCTTGTGATTTACAACTCCCAGCATTTAGAGGGCTGAAAAACTGCAGGATGGGAAGCCCTCTGCGAGTCCTGTACAGGGACAACGAGGTCCCACAACTATCATCACTGTACAAAAACACACGACACCAAACCAACAGTGCTGTCCCGGTGGAGAGCTTCTCACAGCAATGTTGATGCTCACAGCTAAATATATAACCACAGTCATGCTTGGCACCACTGACCCAGAGAAGATGACTGAATAGCTAACTAGTGAATGTACACAGCTAACAGACCGTGACACGACCTATATGTCTCTCATCCAGTGGTTGAGAATTAACCAGGAAAACACCTACATCCCCCTGATTTTATTAAAAACTGGGGGTTTGGAGTTGATGGTAAATCAAAGGAGGGAAAAAAAAGAGCAGCTCTTTTAAATAAACAGGAAAATTATCTTATGGAAACGCAACAGTGTTTCTTGGAAGCACGCTGTGAATAGTCTGGCTGTGCAACCTTCATGCCTTTTGTGTTTTAAAAATAATTTCTACGTCAAGTTGCAACAGAAAAACTAAAAAGCCTGCCAAGGTTCTCTTTCCTATGAGCTTGCAGATCAGAGAATGAAGAGAATAAAAGCGGTTTTGTCTGGAGCAAATTCAAAATAACAGACACAGAGTTGAGCAGGAGAGCAATGGCAGGGATGGGAGACACTACAACAGACTTTCCTTTCCTTTGTCTTGCTACTGGAGTCTTGGATAATTCACCAAATCCAGCTCCCATCCTTGGGCTGACTTTGGCTGAATAGATTAGCAGGGGGCAGACAAGTGCTGTGAAGCTTCATGCATGCATAACATGCACGCTACCTGCTGCCATACAGCAAGAGACTGAAATGATTACTATTCGTCTACTCTTCTTTTACCATTCTTTAAATTATCTTGAAAACCACGAGAGATAGAGGCCCAAGTTTACGACCCTCTTTATTTTCTTTCAGTGATTTATTTCCACCCAACAATGCACTGGTGCTGTGAAACACGGTAAACCATCACAACTGGTGCTCACCCAGCAAAGGCCAAACTCTGGGCTGGGCTTATTACTGGATTTAACAATATCAAATTCAGTGTCCTCACACGCAAAGTATGCATAAGCTAATACTCCCATGGTTTTTAGTGTCCTTGATTTAAGAATAAATTTAGAACCTGGTTAAATCTACATCCCAGTAGCTTCAGCTAGATTTTTCTTTTTAGCTATGCAGGCTCCCTCATTTCCAAATATATCTCCATAAAAAATAGCATGGTATTTTCTCCATCTGCCAATCCATATATCACTGTTTTTAAACATGCAGACCTGTGACAAGGTTTTAGTCAGCCAGCAGCAGTTTGATGAGGCTCCTGGACACACCAGGGTAGCAAAATAGGGATTTAATCCAACAAAAAGCACTCCAGACTCACACCTCAGCTCTTTGCAAGCCCAAGTAAACACTAAGGAGGAGAGAGTTTAGGATGATCCAAACCTGAAGCTTGAATTAGACCAACACAGATACAGGAATTACTCCATGAAGCTTTTGTGAGAATACATTCAAATGGCTGAACACGAGTGGACTGCATGAGCTTTTCCTAAGAGCCCATCTGTTCTCAGCTGAGAAACTCAGGTCACACTTGTCTAATTTGTCTGAACTTGTCAAATGGTCTAAATTTGTGGACTGAAATGTTTTTGCTTACAGTGTCTTTATTAAGAGCCATGCAGCTGGGCTTGGCCTCTTACATGACATGGGGTAACTCTGAAGTGTTAATCTGCTCAACTGCAGTTGTTTGCACATTATTCTGGTGATATCCAAGGGTAACCACAGGTTTGTCAAATAAAATTGCAGCCCAGATTTTTGGAATTTCAAGAAAATAGCTATTTCTGAGCTTCTAGCGTGAGCAGGCCTCAAGCTCACAAATGGAAAAATTGAAGACAAAAGGTCTCAAGTCACAGGGACTCACAGAAGCCTAAGCTATACCGAGTCTCAAAAAAAGGGGGGCTTTTGCATAAATATATTAAATATTGGTGCACCACTGGCTCCAAGGAGTAGCACAGGAATAGGATTTCCAATCACATCCCTAATGCATATTCTCAACGGTGAAACCAAATGTATTGACTACACTTTTCCCTAAGAAAGGAAGGCAAATTGATATATTATGCCCATTGTCTTCAAAGAAATCAGTCAAATGTCATAGAACAATTGACTTTCCAGACACATACAACAAAAGATTAATTATCAAGGAGATCCACAGCTTGCATGGAAAATTAGACCTAAGACAGCATCCAGATATTTTTATTAAAATACATTTGAAAGACTATGAATTAAAATGTTCAACTCTTTCAAAAGAAAACTTGAACTGTTGATCATTAAAAGCCAGAAAAGCAGATTTTTAAGCTACAAGTTGTAGGATAAGATCACACTTTTTCTACTAGACCTAGATGGAGGATACTTTTGTTCAGACATAAATAATGAAAATTAGTTCGCATTCTTCTTCAAAAGCTTCAGTATCTCAATAAATTATTTTTTTAAAAAAAAGTCTTCTCAACTGTATTCCTCCAGATCTAAGCAATTAAAAACTAAATACTTATCCTAAAAACCACAACGCTAGCTGGAAACTAACATTGCATAAGGAAATGGAAAGTCTCTATGAATTACTGCCAGAAACGTTCTATATGGAAAATGTCAACCAGTTCTCTATTTTACTCTGAGGTTGCCAAGATGAGAAGCCAGTTGGCAAGTTTATGTTGCATAAAATTACTAATTGCTCACATCACATACAAAATTTCTAATAAAAGCCTACGGAAGCTTTTCAGAAGTTTTGCTCAAAAGTTCACTCAAGGGCACTAGTTTGAGAAGATAAGCACTCCAGAAGGAATACCTGCTAAACAACGTTATGCCAAGCAGTTCATTTTCATCACATTATCTGGAGTAGAGTTGACCCCATACATGTCTGGCTTAAAATACACATTGCTGCTTTGGGCTTCCACCCTTGCAGACAGCAGCTGTGCCTCATACAAGAGGCCATTGGGATGATTTGGACTGCTATGCTTAGCCTGCACCCTAGGAAATACAGCTATGAGGCATTACAGACCTTTCCAGGCTCACATTCTGTGCCATCAGCCCAAGGTGTGTGCTGAGTACGACATCCCTTGTGCGCCCCGTCGATGTTAATGCACCAAAGTCGCCGACACTGCATCTGCTTAAGTTATTGAGAAGATCAAAATATTAACTACGTGCCACGTGCCTTACCAGATAAATCACCCCTTATGAAATTGACCCTCTGGGATTTATCATTAATTCAGAAGGTTGACAGTAATTTGATGGGTTGTGAGCCTCCCCTTCATCCAGCCCCAGGAGGCCTTATTTTGCTCCACCAACACCAGGAAACCCAAGGTGTGGAATTTCACTTACCATATACGGGCACACTTGAGATCCGGGTCCAAAAATTAACTCACATTGTTTGTTGACGTCATAAATCAGCCCCGGGAGCTGCTGAGGCAACGTGTAAGTTCTTGATGAAGGTTCATCAAGCAAGCACTCCCCATAACCAGTGCTACAACAGAAACCAGAAAAGTGGTGTTAAACAGGAGGTGATGAGGCTTGAGGTCATTGGTGTTTACCCGGGTCAGCCTTGGGGCAGATGCACACCACACTTGCCAGCTCTAACAAGCACTACAACAGCTACTGCAGACTCGAGCCCAGGAGGGTGCACCACCCATCCACCACCACCTCTGTTCTGTGCTAACCACCATCCACCACAGTGCAGCCAGCTACCCCGGCAAAAGCATTTCTGAGTGTGCACAACCTGCATTTAGTTGCTGAGCAAGCTCTGGGACATATTTTTAGAAAGAAAATCATGGATTAGTAGAAGAACTGCCTGAGAGACCGAGCTCCTGGATTTGCCAGAACACCATCGTGGCTCTCGTTCTGTTCTGTTCCCCATCACAACACAGGAAGACATCACAGCAAAATGGGTGATCACTGTGCATCAAACTGACCCGCGGGCTCCTGGAACAGTGTTCCCACCATGGACTAGTGCCAGGGCTTTATCTTGACCTGTGGAGCAGAAAGGCAGATTCAATCTGCCTCCTAAAACACAGCTCTGTATCTGGGCCACAGGGCTCGGAAAACTCACTCTTCAGGTTCAAGGAGAACACACATTCCTTAAAAGCAATATCCATGGGGGAAGACTTATTCTCACCCATAGAGAGGCTGGGCCTTGCCAGCTTATCACGAGGCTGAACTGGCAGGGACTGGATGCCAGGGGTGCATTTCTGCTCTATGTAAAGGGTGCGTGCACGGACAAATCCCTCTGATTTCCTCCAAACACTGCACACTAGGGCTTCAGATTAACTGATGAACCCCACAGGATGCATCCACATGTGAAAACAGCCCAACACATGCATACGCAAGGCCTTACTCCAGAAATTCAGTGATGTATTTCCTGCTGCATTTTGACCACATCCAGGGATTGGTGTAGAAGTTCAATGTCGGTGCCATGACATGCTGTTGATTTTTACCTCCATCTTCTTTGCACTTATGATTGTCATCGTGTGGCATGTTAAATCTAAGAAAACAGCAACGAAAAGTACAGTCAGTTAAGTGGCAAATGTCAAGTATTTAGCATAGCAAGAGCAACAATGTGAACTAAATGTAAGCAATCCAAATGCTTCCTATATATAGTAGTGGCAGACATTACAGATTAAAAGTATTAATCTGGACATATTTGTAAGTGTCAGTAAGCATTGCTCAAATGAGGTTCCTAGCACTTGTCTGTAAAAAGCTACACAGCAGCACCCCAGTAAGCTCTCCACACCACATATTTATCCAGACAAGTCCTTGAGGGAGCCTGGAGTAAGATGCAATTTCAGCTGCAAATTCCTTCTCAATTGATGGTTGCAACCCTGCAGGCAGGCTGGAGTTTGGCCCCACCTTCCAAAAAAAAAGCAAGTTCTCTGGATCTGAGCCAAAAGGACAAGAGGTGATGGGGGCAATACATTTCTGAAGGACACACATGACACAAGCCCACTGACCACTGCTGCCTGAAGTCCCTCGTGTATGTAGGCAGCAAAACGTTTTCTAACGCAGTTAAATACCTTGGGCCATGCTGATCCCTTGTGCTGCTGCCTAAACAGGGCTCCATCAGGGATAGACTTGGCTCCTATACTTTACCTGGTAGGTTTACAAAACACCATTAAGCATCAATAGGAGCAGAAACCCACGCGATGTTTGCAGCACATGACATATTGAAGAATGCAGCAAATACACAAAGGGAGACAGAAGGGCTTAAAGTGCCTCGCTGTTTGAAGTGGAGAAGGGGAAATGACCCGGTGTGATCCTGCATCTGAAGGCTGGGGAGTTTATATCCCATTAAGATTACCTCCAATGAACCACCTTTTCACTCTGCTCCCTGTTCTGGAGCAGTGTTAGCAAAGGAATTAGCCACAGGTTAGGTGTGGGGAACACCAAACCTTCGGGGACTTTCTGGCAGGAAATCTCATTTAAACAAATACTGCTGTGGTTTAAAATAGATCGTCTGAGCCAGCTCTCCGTGGAGAAAAAGGGAGTTCAAAACAATGAGAGATCTGTTCCCAAGTACTCATCCATCCCACACCTGCAGCCCTCCACCGCAAACCAGGCGTGAGGTGGTTTGGGACTGAACTGGTTGCCTGAGAGTTGTAGCTGGGAGGTAATGGACTACGTGATCAAAGATGATTTTTTCTCACTACCACTCTCAAAAAATGTCAAAATCAGTTAAAAAATTTCCATCAGAGGAAGTGCCTCTTGAATGACAGCATCTCTTGTGGGGATATCCAGCAGCATGAGGTTTTCCCTGGTGCAATAGCCCAGAGGTGGGTCAGGCTCACTTACACATCCCAGACACCCCGGGTAAATTTGTCCCTTCACACACAGCTGCTGCACTGCCTTCAGCAGCACCACACAGGGCAGGGGACAAGCTGTGGCAGGCTGAGGACCTGCTCTCAGAGCAGACTTCACTCACAAAGGCCAGGTGAGATGCACCCGTGTCCCCCACCCTTGTCCTTCCCATGGCACTCAGCACCTCCCTGCACCAGTCAAAATCCTTGGCTAGTCCCACTGGCTTGGCCAGGACATTCTGGTTGCTGGGGCAGATTCTGCCAGCATCCACGTGTAGATGTGAGAAGATGCAGTAAGAAGGGACATTTTATTAGCTCTCCTCCTTTGCTTATGGTACCCCAAGTAACACCTGTCACTCATCCTCCTCAGAATGTGGGTCTGCTGGTTTTGCTGCTCTCAGTCTCTGGAGACCCCACCACCTCCCAGAGTCGCACCACAGTTTAACCTTCCCCAGTGGCACATCTTCTACCCAAGTATATTTATCTCCTCTCAAATAATTAGACTCAGCAAGTAACGAGTCCTAGTCTGGCTGGCAAGCCCTAGCTAGCATAAATCTTGGGCTATTTAGATGTAAATGTATTTACATAAAACATACACATGGCCAAGTTCATGTGCTATAGTGAAAGCAGTGCTCAGTCCGTTATCTTCGCTAATTGAACAGCTCCTGTATGGGTCACAGACTGTGCCCAGCTCTGCCAGACCTAGGAGAGAACAAATAGGTTTATGATAGAAAACAGAAATGTCACTCATGGTTCAGAAAAGGCAACTAACATTGTCACTACGAAAAAAAAGTCATTAAAAGACAAAGAAAAGGTTTTCCTTACCCAGAGTATCACATTTGTCGTGCGCTCTACAAATATCCTGCCTGAAAGCAGAACAGACCTGACACATTAATTCTCAATGCAGCAGTGAGTTAAGGTACAAGCACAAAAATAACAGCATCCAAAGGCAATTCTTGGTCCTCCAATGGACCTTCTTATGCTGGTTTGTCACATCATTTAGTAGAGTCCAAACCAACTCCCTACCACAGTCAGGGAGTTTCATGGCATCTTGAACCCACTGGCAGACCTTGGACAGCCCTGAACCTCTCAGAGTCATCTACCACTATGGTGGGCACATTATCCCAATTTTGCTCATACATATCACCAACTGCAAATGTCATCACACCCCCACCAAAACCCAGACATTCCCCATAGCTGGATAGACTACATGCTCACAGCCTCCGATACATGACTGGCGACAGTCTTCTTGAGAATATTCACCATACCTGGTAACAAGCACAGCTGTATCGTGTTGAAGGTGACTTCCTTCAGGGTGGTTCTGGGATTGCTGCCACTGGCAAAAGTTTTTTAATGTTGTCTGGGCATTGTAAGATATTGCAGGACCATCCTAATAAGCAACACACAGAAAGCAGGTATTTTAATTATTCATCACAAGGCTGCCTACAAATGCCACCATCAAACAGAAGGTGAAGCAAGTCACTTCCATTACCTGTTCATTATGTATCACAACCAATTTCACAATAACAATATTAATTAAATTTCCAATGCTTGGATCTTTGTAGATAGAAGCCACCTGTTTAAAAAAAGAAATATTCAGATTATTGCTAACATTCAAGGAAAGAAACAATTAAGACAACACACACGTTTTTTCCATTTTGCAACTGTTTTTCTCCTGAGCTGCTCTTCTCCCCTACTCAGTGCTCTGATGCTACTTGGAGAGACCTCCTGCCAGAAGCATAATTATAGAATGAAACAAACCTGCTGGTATTGCAGAAACCCAAGATTTCTTTTTGCTTTAGCACACATTTCACCACATTACAGGATCATTCGGCTCTGACATACAATGGCCATCAACAAAGATGCTCAAATGCAACTCATATGCTCAAATGACCCATTTTGAACTGGATGGTTTAGAGCATGTATTCACTGCACTTCTACCCTCAAACAGGGTGAAAATCCCTTCAGTGACACAACCATATTGAGTACTCATTTCCAGTCACTCTGCATCTACAGAGCTGCCTGTTTGGGGATGGTACTACTGCACCCTGCAACCAGCAGCTACGAAAATTCTCACCCTTCAGCCTGGAAAGAAAATTCTAGCACTATGCTAAGGATCAAGGTGACCACAGCCTCCTTCTCCTTGCAACGGCCAGGGATGTCAGACAATTGCACAACTTACTAGCATCAGTCCCTTGGAAGGCACAGTCCCCGAAACACCTTTTTAATTCAGCTGCTATTTCACATGGACTAAATAAAAAGAAGAGTACAGTGTGTGGACTAAAGGGCCAGGGATATTTCTCATTCTGCCTGGGATTCAGAAAGCTGGAAGTGAGATGTGTTGGAAGGGTTAGGAAACACATGGGGCTTAGGAAGAAAGATGAGTCCAAACAGTGTTCCCCAGTCAAGTTCCATCAAGCTTTACCCTAACCCCAGCATTATTTCCATGCCTGGCCAAGACAAACTGCTGGTATTGCATAAAACCTCAGCAGAAAGGCTGCTCTGTGACCCCTAGAAAATGATCTGTAGCTGGAAGGGAGAGGTGTGGGAAGGGTTAGGAAACATGAGGAGCTTAGGAAGAAAGAAGAGTCCAGTCAGTTCCCCAGTCAAGTTCCATCAAGCTTTACCCTAACCCCAGCATTATTTCCATGCCTGGCCAAGACAAACTGCTGGTATTGCATAAAACCACAGCAGAAAGGCTGCTCTGTGACCCCTAGAAAATGATCTGTGGGTGAACCTGCTCCCCGTGTTGGATACTCACTATTGACATCAGTGTTAAGACATAGTGCTGTAGATTAGCTCCATGGTAGGCAACCATCCTGCTGTCAGCCACCACCATCACTTCCACAAACCGAGGGTAGGAGAGAAACCGCTTTGTTCGTTTGTGGCTCTTCTTCTCACTGATGTTCCCAGTCTTGTTGCTATCTGCAGAAAACGAATTCACTTCCAGGCTGTGTTTCAACATCTCCATGTCAGACAATATGCTGCTTTCTGCCCACTGTCTTTTCCAGTGTTTCCATTTGTTCTTTTTGTGACTGTGTTCATGATCTACGATTAAAAAGCAGATAAAGACATGAAGTACACTCTGGAGTGAATGAAGTTAATACCACATGCATGTTGTGTCAAAATATCTCTTTATTTCAATTAAATGTTAATGAGCAGGCTTGCTCCAACAGGTAATCAAAACAGAAGCACGCTACGGAAGCCCACCACGCAATCCAGCATCCAAGGCTGCTCTTCATTTTTGAAGTAACCTTACAGAAGCCAACAGCACTTGAAGGTGGACACTCATGCCAAGGCCTTCCTGCAGCAGGGCTGTCCCCTTGCCCACAGGGGAGGGATGGAGCCTGGGCTGCAGCTCAGCTAACGTGGTGTGAGCTGGGTGATGGTAATTAGCCACCGCCGCGGCAGCGTGAGGATTCTGGGCACGTCCAAGGTGGCCAGGAAACCACAGGAAACAAAGGTCCAAATCCTGTATTTCTAACTCAGGCATGAAGGACGGCAGGATTTGGCCTTCATAGCAAAGCAATTATATATGATTTATTTCTGTCTCTAACAATAACACGGCTGGGCTTCAGTTCCCCCCCTCCCTTTATTATTCTGTGCTACGGGAATGGTAAAGGTCATCTAATAGCACAGCTGCCACTGGCTGAAGAATAGAATTCAGGAAGTTTCACATATACCGCTTTTGATATTCAATTAGGCCAAACATAAAAGCAGCCTGAAAATATACTCCATGCTGATACAAAAACGACAAAGTGAAGAGGGAGAACAGGCAAATAAAACATATGGAACGTGTACAATTAAGATTCACCATCTGATTAGTATGTAATTATAGCATTATTTAAATGTAAGAGCAAAATCAGTCTTATTTGACGCCACTTAATTTTTAATCAGTTCATCATAGGAAGTAGCTAATTGAATGTGATTCATCCATGAGAGACTGTTCGCTTCTGCATTTAATATAAAGCCAGATCTGAACTACTCATCTAAGACTCCAGGCTACAACCCTCACGCTCTTTGTAGCTTTAGTTTAATTTCGTCATGGTGGTGGAAAAGATCACATTTCCTTATCTGACCCACTGAGTAGGTTAGAGGAAGCATAATATTAGGGAACAAAGGAATATTCAATGCTCAAACAAGATTGAAACGATAGGAAACTTCTTGGCTATTCTTCCTGTGTAGTTTCCTTTTCGGAAATTTTGTAATAATTGCCAAAAAAAAGAAATATAAAATACATTCCTTTCATATTAAAGCAGGCAAAGGGGGTCGGCCAGCTTCTACCTGTCTGAAAAATACTATACTTTTGCTCTGTGTGTAAATAGGCACTAGAGTATTTAAGAAGTAAATCCTGTTACTCTGTACTACCTAAGCCCTATGAATTCCCCTTTCTCAATATAGCCCAGACCACCTTAATACAGCAGAGAGCCTGCAGTTATTTGAGTAAGAATTCGAGAAAGCCAATGGCATTTGTGGTTATAATTGGATTGCCCTAGTTCCTCTGCACTAATCAATGCCCTTGTGTTGGCAAGGTTGTGCTCTCATGCTGGCACGGCTTCGTGGGCAACCGTGACATTATCCCAACTTGTTCAGTGCCAATCAGTGCAGGAAGCCAACTATGCATACAAATAACTTCAAGGTGAGAAGACCAGACTGAAGAGAAAGTGCTAACCTCAGCCCTTCAGCCAGCTCCCCTCCTTTCTGCACCCTCAGCCAGTCAATTAGACTTCCCTTTTAAATAACTAGCTTCCAAAAGAAGCAGGTGCTGAAAGAAAAATGCATTAAGGATGGGGAGATGCTCAACAGGGCTCGAGAGAGGCTGAAGGGAAGGCTGCAGGGTGAAGGTAGAGCTCTGCACCATCTGCCACTGTGGCTTTGCAGAGCCCCAAATGGGGCTACAGGACTCAGATGTCTTCTCCTCCAGCCAGTCTGGCAGAGGGAGGATTGGTGGCAAAAAGAAGGAAATGCAAAGGATTTTTTTTATAACAGAAAACATCTGTTATACAGGAGGCATTTACAAGAAATTAATTGATACTCATCAGGCTTGCACCAAAATCCTGCAGCTTAGTGTTATCACACACTCAAAAAAAAAAAAAAAAAAAGGAAATTCCATCCAAAAACCAGAGAGGTCCACCTGAAATGCCAGGTCTGGTTTCAAGAGCCCTGACCTCACCCAGCACACAGGAGAAGCAAAGCCCAACACAGCCAGGTACACACAGCACACAGGAAAAAACACCTTTCTTCCTGCTGCAGAGATCTCACACGAATCATAGAATCTCATTTAGGTTGGAAAAGAACCTTAAGATCATCAAGCTCAATCCTCAGCCTAACACTGCCAAATGTCAGTGCAGCATCAGTGTACTTCCCTCATCCAGCACACACATCAAACCAGCCACAGCATCCCTTCAAAAACCAACACTGTTTTTTCCAGGTAGGAATTCACTCCAGCACTTAGAACACACTATTTGGACAAGCCACTCACAGGATGTTTGCCAGCCTAGTTACTGTAAAACCAAGCACAGGCAAGTGGGGATGCATTGCCTGTAAAGCCACTCCTGGACTTTGATAGTAGTGAACTGTTATCTTCACCCATCTTTCTTGCACATAACTGCAGTCAGAGATGGTGCACATTCATCTGTAAAAAATTAAACACTAATGGCAGTGCACAGCTCTCAACCCACCCATAAAACCCCACCAGTGCTAATGGGAGCTGCATACAGGCACTGCCAGTACTGCACGTGACTGATGCTCTTGATATCTCACTCTTTTACGATGGCCACGACAGAAATGCCCTCACTGGATGATGCAGCTCACTGCCAGTTAGTCAAGCAGAAATGAAAATCTCTCCTGTTACACAAGAAAACTGCAATTTTACAGCAACAGCTTCCTATTGCCACACAGGGCACCAAAAAAGGGTGTGATATTTTTCCACCTGGTTTTGACTTTTTTTTTTTTTTCCTCTTTCTGATGTGTTAATAAAGGCCTAGAAATCAGGAAGGAAAATGGTTTGCTTGGCAAGTTTTTAACTCTCTGCAAATGACCTGAAAAACATCTACCTACACATGGCAGTAATTGGATGGGTTTAGGCAGTAATTGGATGGGTTTAAGCAACAAAACATTTTATTTAATTTGCAGAAAAGCCAAGCTCCAATGAGTAGACAAACACTTTAAAATCACACAACTACAGATCAATAATTCAAGTACTGGGCGAGCCTATGCACTGATTCAACAGTTAATATTCATTTAAGAGGTGGCTAAAAGGCTGCTGGAATCATGTCCATTTTACTGGTTGCTTTACTATGACAGTCTGTGGTGTTTGCACTGTCTTTAGACAGACCTGGAGACGTATGTTCATTGTTTTTCCCCACTTGGTTTTTTCTTTGTTATGTGGGACTTAAAAAGGAGACCCAGCCCTGTAACAAGGATATTCCTTCCTGACTGCATCTCCCCACCCAGGCTATTTATTTTCACTTGGGCAAGAAGCCTCAGTCTGGAGCCCATTGAGCTGATTTATGGATGGTTAGTTGGGTCTATCCCAAGGGACTCAGGCCCTACGTGAGTATTTTGCCTGCATGAAAGGGTGACAGGGCAAAGCCAGGGACTGCTTTTGAAATAGTAGCTATTGTTATGCTAAAATAAAAAATTAAAAAGAGTGATTGGCTCATCCCAGCAGTTCTAATTCTTTCCATTCCTACATTGAGTTGTCCTTGGAGTAGAAAACAATTTGCACAATTAAATAAAAATTGTGACAATGTATGCAATTCCAGTTCAGCTCCAAGTTCTTAAGAGCTGTACATAGCAGGAAAAAAAAATAAGAAAAATATAAAAAAGAGAGACAGAGGGGGAAAAGAAATAATCTATTTCTTGAGCTGATAACATTAATAACCTCTCGCTGCTAGAAAAGGAGCACAGTCTTTTCAAACCAACTAACTAGCATACCTTTTCTAAATGCATGACCTAGGATTTTTCACACAAAGTTTGCTGCTCAGCAGTTGGCCCAGAACACTCCTAGACCTGCACTGATCCAGCTGTGCAGGTGACAAAACTATCATTTGGAAGTTAATTATTTATTGCACACCTCTATAAATCAGATCAAAATTCAGCAGAGCTCCCTCCAGGCAGTCAGTCAGTGTGTGACCTGCTTCCCTCAACTCGAGCAGGAGCCACAGCAGCAACCCCTGCCCAAACAGTTTGGCACAAGCTCTATGACAGTTGGCTGGCCTGAATTTGCTGCCTGTAGCTGGTGCCACAGAAGCCACAGAAGTGATTGCCATCACTTGGAAAACAGAGGTAAGAGGTAAAATGGATTTTTTTTTAGGAAGAGTTGGACTTATTGAAAATGAACCACATTTGTAGGCTCTTCTTGCCTGAAAATGGGATGGAAACTGGCTGCTCTTCAGGACCCAAACAGGACCAAAGGACTCTCCTAACCCTGTGTCTGTTCTGATTCTCTACTCATATACTTTATATCCCTAGCTATACTTCAATATATTTACCAGATACATCTCAGATGAATTTGCATGAGGCCAAGCTCTCACCTCTGTTACTGTGGCTGTGCTGCTGTGGCCAGCAAAACCCAGAGCTGAAAACCTCTTCACTGCCAGCAGCTTCTTGCCCTGCTTGGACAAAAGCCAAGGACGATAATATAGCAGAAGAGCAGGAGCTGGCTTGCTCTGCACCACACTGAGATGACCAGTCCCACGAGCAGGACTAATTCTGCCTTCCCTCTGGATAGCTCCTTAACGATGCAACCAGAGCTGCTGCTATAGCTGGAAAGGGAAAACAGGCTTTACTGATAGAGCTGAGATCAATGTCCTACACTGGAATGGAAATGAAGGATCCAGGCCAAATGATCCAAAGAGAAAGATCTAGTACACTAAGATTGAAAATGAAAGTTTGCTCAGTTTTTCTAATCTGCAAACCAAAGTGGTCAAAAGCAAATTAATCTGAACCCGCCTATTGTGATCATCTAGGGTTTCAAAATTTAATTGGCAAAAGCTGGGCAAAACTGCTTAGATCAAACTTTCACAGTTGGAACTATTGAAAAT